TTTGTTTTTATTTATTTTTTCTTATAAAATAAAGCATTTAATCGGGGCTGGCTTACAGGTTCAGAGGTTGAGTCCATTCTCAGCATGGCAGAAAGCATGGTGGCATGCTGGCAGACCTGGTTCTGGAGAAGCAGCTGAGAGGTCTACATCCACATTCCCTCTGGTGTTGTCGGGTGGGAGAACCTGCAAGTTTGTTAAGACTGTTTGATAGATAATGCAGGATAACACTGATTTGCTTTTTTTAAAGGCATATTTTACTTATTTATGTGTGTGTGCATCTTCATGAGTATATATACGTGTGTGTGTGTGTGTGTGTGTGTGTGTGTGTGTGTGTGTGTATGTGTACATACACACATATGGAGGCCCGAAGAGGTCCTCCTCTATCATTCTCTACCTTGTTCCTTTGAGCCTGGCTCTCTCTGAACCTTGGGTTCATGTTTTCTTTGCAAAGCCCAATGATCAACTCTTCCTACCCCCACCCAGGGATAGTGTTAGAGGCATTTGTGATGAGCCCCAACTTACTATATAGGCACTAAGTTCTTAACTCTAGTCCTCATGATTTTGGAGCAAGTGCTCTTCACCACGGAGCTATAATCTCTCTAGCCCAACACTGATGTTGTTTGTTTATTGCTATTTTGCTTGAATGGTATTGGGATATTGAAGTCTGTCCTAGTTTTATTTCCAATGCAATGATAATACTACGACCAAAAGAAACTTGGGTTTATTTCATCTTACATTTCCAGGTAACAGTCCATGCCTGAGGGAAATCAGGGTAGGAACACAAGGTAGATTGTGACCTAGGTGTGTAAGCCACATACGCCCCTTTTTCTCCTAAATTGCTTTGGCCAGTGTTTCATCAGACCAACAGTGAATTAGACTAGAACAGGGCATCCGTATGTGGTATGGGATGGTGAGCGTCCTGTGTTATGGGATGGTCACATCCTTGCAGTGGATGACAAAGCATGGTACAAAGGCCAAGTCATCTGAGGGTAGAGCACCCTGGGGACAGGTTCTGGATTGGGCACCTTCCTGTGTGTAGAAGCATGCCTCACTGATCCATAAGGTCTGTCTCGTGGATAAGGAAACACCCTCAAAGGGTTATTTTGCAGTCCCTAAAAATGTACACATAAGCAGACTCTGGCAATTGTAGGGTAGATTTTGCTATGTGCAAAAAGAAATGCAACCAAGGTTCAGCTGTCTGCCCATAAAGAGCTCGCCTATACCACAGGGAAAACAAGGTGCGGATGCCGCCCTCTGCCTTGGCCTCATGGGACCTGCAAGGATGAGATGGGCGTTTCAGTTTGTCACTTTATACAGTCGCCAGGATGCAAAGGGTGTGTGCCAAAGAGCTCTTCTTGGGATTTTGGAACCGGAAGAAGATTCAGACAGTGGAGAGAGAGAGAGAGAGAGAGAGAGAGAGAGAGAGAGAGAGAGAGAGAGAGAGAGAGAGAGAGAGAGAGAGAGAGAACAAGGTAGAAGGGATAGAAAATATCCCTCAGGTCCAACCTGTAACACAGCAAAAGCAAAAGACCTGGACTTGGCATGCAGAGTGGGCCCTAATAATTGCCAAGCACCGGAAACTGTGACAATCAAGGAATATTCCACAGCTTTGAATTACTCGAATGGGAAATGCCTTTAAACAGGGAATAAAAGCGCTTCTTGCAGCCTGGCTTGTGCAGCTGTGGGATGGGAAGGCAAATGATATCAGTCTGAGTGCTGTGGAAGCAGAGAAACCAATAAAACTACCCCCCCATAATCTGCAGCAATACAAGGGAAATCAGTCCCTGATGTACCGGGTGTATAAACCATTAAGAACACTCTGTTATTGCCAGTTGCTGTGCATGTCATGGGCTGGAAGAGAATAAAGGAATGACAGGCATTTGTGAAGCGACCGAGCATGAAAGATGATATATTTGATGTCCCGTTTACTGGGCCAGATAGGTAGGTATGTGTTCACAAGAGAGTTAAGAGACAGGTTGACTTAGCAGGGGCCTCAGGACTGGTATGGGGTTTGTCTTAGTTACTTCTCTATTGCCTTGGCCAAACACCATGATGAGGACAACTTATGGAAGAGCGCATTTAACAGGGGCTTACAGTTTCAGAGGGTGAAGCCGTTGCCATCATGGTGGGGAGCATGGCAGCAGACAAACAGGCATGGTGCTGGAACAGTGGTTGAGAGCGCACATCGGAGCCACTAGCACTAGGCAGAGAGAGCTAACTGGGAATGGCGTGTGCTTTTGAAACCTCAAAGCCCACCCCCACTGACACACCTCCCCTAATAAGACCACGCATCCTAGTCCTTCTCAAATAGTTCCACCCACAGGGAACCAAGTATTCAAATATTTGAGCCTAGGGCGACCATCCCTCAGCCACCACAGCGTCTTAATGACTTTGCAGAGCTCTACGATAGGCCACAATCCCTTTGTTTGTTTGTTTTTCAAGACAGGGTTTCTCTGTGTATCACTGACTGTCCTGGAACTCACACTGTAGACTAGGCTGGCCTCTGCCTCCTGAGTGCTGGGGCTAAAGGGGTGTACCACCACCACCCGGGCAATAGGGTATAATCTTTACAAGGTAGGAGAGGATATGACAGATATGAGTGTTTTAGACTGGCATATGGATTGTGATTGTAAAATACTCAAGAGAAAACTGGAAAAGAAAAACACTGGACAGGGGGTTTGTCTAGGACCTGTCACTTGAAGGCAAATGTAGCAAGATTCACATGGAGCCAGAGTCCTTAGAGTAAAAGTTGCCAGAAAGCCAAATGCTGTGCCAATGAATCTGTAGACTTCCAGGCACAGATCTACAGACTGTAAGCTGCCTGAGGCCAAGGACAGCTGTGAATGTAGCCCAACACAAAAGTGTAAACTTAAACATATTTTTACAATAAAAAACCCAACTGTGTAATCTGGAGCATGAGTTCTGTAGATTATATGTTTAGACCCTTCCCTATAGGTTAAGAGCCTGAGCAACAGTTCACAGGAGACAGGAAGGATAAAACAGTGAGTCTGAAAAGGGACATGGCTGCCTTAGGGTAGAGAGCTATCCCCTCACAGTGTGTGGTGTACCCTTCTTTCTCAAAAGTAAATGCACACAGGGTTGAGATTGTTGATCTAGCCTGGGGTCTGTCTGCCAACCACGACGGAAAGGCCAGGGCCACAGCCCTGGAGGTTGTTAGAGCCAGGGAGCTGCCTCCGGTCAGCAGCACAGCAGGCACGGGTTGGGTGGAGGACACAAGCCTTCCCCATTCAGTCCAGCATGGGCGGGGAGACGTTCAGGAGCCCTGCAGGAGGAGAACCCCAGGATACAGAGGTGGGGCAGTCCACAGGCCATGATTGTGGGCTACGGAAAGACACCTGGGTGTGGTTGTGTCTCCACTGCTGCTGTAGCCAACATTTCATACTTTTGGTTGTGAGCCTGGCCTTTAACGGCTGAGCCATCTCTCCAGCCCTAGCCAACATTTTAAAAAAGGGTTCTATTTTATTTTTTTATTTTGTTGTTGTTCTTTGAAATGAATGTGTATGAATGCTCTGTCTCCTCCCACACTCCTGGTCAGGGTTCAATGCCTCCTCAGTGGCTTTCTCTGGCCTATCTCCTAGCCTCCACCTCACCTCATCTCCCCCTTCAGACACCATACTGCTTCATTGCTTGGCAGTCGCCTGTTCCCCCTCAGTGAGGTCTGGCAGGGCTGGGCTGGATCATCATGCTGTAGGCAGGGGCATGAGAGGACACCGTGGAGGCAGGTTTTCACCTTGCGAGGACCTCTTCCCCACTTCAGTCCTTCCCTTGCTATGGGTGACCCCATCTACAGAGGGCGTCTTGCCTACCCTGCCCCTCTGCAGGCCTTTGCAGAGGTATATCCGACCTACGATGCTGTGGTAAGTACAGGCATAGGCCTGCCCTCCAGAGACCCACAGCCTGCTGGGTACATGAGGACAAAGGGGACCCAACCCAGGTTCTCAGGAGAGGGTCCTTGATGCCAGGAGACACATGCTCAGGAGGTGATGTGAGGGACAGACGGGTCAGGGCAGGAGACACCCGCAGATGGTTACGGGGCGTCCACAGAAAGGTGGGTCTCATTAGATCATGACCGGGTGAGGTAAGGGTTAGCTACTAGAAAACGGTAACTCAGACCCTAAGGGCTGGGAGATGGAGGCCCCACTACCTGGTCTAGCCCCCAGTGTCAAGAGGAAGAAGTGACTTACCCAAAGTCACTGTGCATGAAGGAGGGAGCCTGGGCTTCCTGATCCTACGCTTGAGGTTGTGCTTCTACAGGAAACCGCCGTTAGCAGCCACAATGGCTGGAGCTTTGGAGTCCAAGGCTGCCAGCATCCAGGCAGGTGTCTAGGGCCTGCAGTCTGGGAACGCCTCTTCCTCCCCCATCTCCCGTCTTGGGGTGAGCAGACACTGTGGGTCTCACGTCTTCTCTTCCAGTCACAAGAAACTGTTCTTTTCCTTCTCCTCCTCTACTCCCTGAGCTCCTCAAAGCCTTGCAACACACTGCCAAAGTCTCCACTCGGGATGGAGGTATCATCTGACACTGCCCTGGGGTCCGGTGTGGTGTGGCATATTGGTGGCTGATGCTGCTCAGTGAATCCTGTACTGCTTCTGATCCAGACCCCTCCCTGTCCCTAGCTGCCAGCAGCTATCAGCCCCCTCAGAGGCCAGCCCAGCTCTGCTCCCTTCAATCTGCAGAAATTTGCACTGCTCCCTGGTGCCCACACGCATTCAGCCCTGGCTCCAGGTCTGCTTGCCCTGGCTAGCCTTGGCCAGCCTTGGCTCCAGCATCAGGGGATATGGCAGTCTTTGGAGACAGAGATTTTCCTTACAGATCAGGTCTCTGCAACATCTCTGGGGCTGGGGCTCTAATGGGGGCTGTGACCGCAGAGGGAATCGTGTATGGAGAGGTGCTCCCAGGTTTGATGTCTGTGGATGTGAGGGCAGTCAGGCCAAGTTGATGGTGCCCCCCCCCCCAAAAAAAAGAGCACTTTACACATAGCTCAAGGACAGAATGACAAACTTTATTAGAAATGTTCCTTGCTCGTAGGTCACATTCACATTAGAGTGGAGGCTACGTCGTCTGGTATCCCACGCTGTGATGATTTCCAGTTACACACGAGTCTGGGTGGGGAGTATCCGGAACTCACCAAAGATGCTGAATTTGGTGCTAGCGGCAGCAGCACCATTCTGTGAGAGGATGGTTCTCAGGCTCTGCAGAGACTGTGTGACACACCCACCCCTTCCAGTCCCAAGGCCACGCCAGCTGAGAAGTAAACAGCATGTCACACACGTCTCGGAAACGAGAAACAAACTGCGGAAGTCTCCTAAAGTGAAAAAATAATTTGCTCAAAGAAAGCTGTGTGACAGCCAGGCTTCACCCTGAATGATGGCGGCCAGAGTCCTGGACACTCAGGGTGTCACAGACTTGGTGTCCCGAGGCCCCCTTCCTCCTTAGCACCTTTGGGAGAAAGCCATCTTCACCACACATCTCTTTCAAAATGCAAACGCTACCTAAAAGGATCATACCCAAGAATAAACTCTGTCCTGGGGGCAAGTAATCATCAGACTAGAGTCCCTGAATAGAAGGTGGGGACCGCCAAGGACCCTATCCACGGTGGGAGAGGGCAGGGAGGGATGAGGAGGCCTGCTCAGAGAGGAAAGCCCAGGTTCTTCGCACTGCGGTGGTCCCTGGTGACTTGTCTCTCAAAGTGGTACTATGTCTTCAAATGGAAGGACAATCTCCCTGCCTTGGCCTGGGGCAGGCAGGGAGGGGACCATCAAGGATTTGCTTCCGTCATTCATTATTCAGAAGCTATTTTCTCTCCACTGGCCAGTTTTCCCAGGTTTGTCTGCAGTGGGGAACAGGACGCCGTCTCCTGCCAAATGTTTTATTCATTCTCTTGAGGAAGAAGTGGCCTCTACACTCTGGTTGGGTGGCCTTCTTGTCCTGGTCGATGATGGCAGCAGTTTGGCCCTGGCAGTCACAGTGGCAACAGGCATTCCTTTGCCAAGTCAGTGCTGTGTGACCACAGATGCCAGCAGGCCTTCAGCACCGCTCACTGGTACTGCAGATAGTTTTTGAGAGACTGAGGCAGAGGCAGGGAGCCGATGTCCCGCAGGCGCTGTCTGCCCAGGGCTGAGCGGATGGATCTCCGGCACAAGTCCATCAGTGGCAGGGGCTCAGCTGCAAAGACAGCAAAGACAGCCAAGTGTGAGTGCCCGCCCACACCTCCTCACTCCGCCCACACCTCCTCACCCCGCCCACACCTCCTCACTCCGCCCACACCTCCTCACCCCGCCCACACCTCCTCACCCTGCCCACACCTCCTCACTCTGCCCAGGTTGCCGGCCACCTGTCCTTTGCCCCTGAACTAGCTCAGGGGCCCCTGTTCCTAAGGCGTCATCCCTGCTTACAGTAAGAGGCCCTCTGCAATGCTTATGAAAGGTGGAACACGGCTGGTAGACTAGAAGATTTAGAATAACAAATGGTAAGTAAGTAGTGGCATTAGGTTAATAGTGAAGCCGGGCGGTGGTGGCCCACGCCTTTAATCCCAGCACTCGGGAGTCGGAGGCAGGTGGATCTCTGTGAGTTCAAGGCCAACCTGGTCTACAAAGCTACACAGAGAAACCCTGTCTCAAAAAAAAAAAAAAAGATTAGTATCGGTCTTAAACTTACCTATAGCAAGGATAAGTTCTGATGTAGAGTGTATAGTTCTAAAGTGTTTGAAAGAGGTATCTTTTTAAAAACAGTATTTTGTCCCAGCTACTCAGGAGACTGAGGCAGGAGGACCATTTGAGCCCAGAAGTGCAAGGCCAGCCTGGACAACACAGCCAGACCCTATGTCAAAACAAACAAGCAAACAGGAGACTCCACCAGCTTTTGAAATTCTTTCAAACCCTCACACTTTCCCTGTAGTGTCTATGATGGGCAGTGTGGAAGGACACTTTTTTTTTTTTTTGAAACAGGGTTTCTCTGTGGTTTTGGAGGCTGTCCTGGAACTCGCTCTTATAGACCAAACTGGTCTCAAACTCACAGAGATCTGCCTGCCTCTGCCTCCCGAGTGCTGGGATTAAAGGTTCATGCCACCAACGCCAGGATGGAAAGACACATTTTCTTACAGCACTCAAGTTCTAGAAAAATCATAAATTAAGATCCACCAGGGTCCTGAAAGGTGGCTCAGGAGTTAAAAGCGCTTGCCACACAAGCCTGGTGACATGATATTGATCCTCAGAAGTCACTTAAAAAAGTTGAATGCAGCGGCAGACATCTGTAAGTCCAGCTCTCCTACATCGAGACAGAAAACAGATGAGATCCCAACCCAACCGGGTGGGAGGTGGGAACATACTCTCCAAATTTGCCTGTGACCTCTGCATGTACATCATGGTGCACATACACAACCCTCAAGAGTGAAAACCAAACCATAGCAGCAGCAGCACCTCTGGATATGGGACAGTTTACTGAATTACCCAGGCTCACCAACAGTGCTCATACTAACAGTTACCTCTTCCAGGTCCTGTCGTAACTCTGGGGGTACAGAGACAACTAAGCCAGGACCAGAGCCAGCCCTGGGGTGAGCATGAAGTCTGGGATTTTCTCATGATCTGGGATTTTAAAGTAAATTAATGATTTTTTTTTGGTTATTTTGAGGCAGGGTTTCTCTAAGGCTTTGGAGGCTGTCCTGGAACTCGCTCTTGTAGACCAGGCTGGCCTCGAACTCACAGAGATCTGCATGCCTCTGCCTCCTGAGTGCTGGGATTAAAGGCGTGCGCCACCAATACCCGTTGTCTGTTTTTAATTCTGTATATATGGCTGTTTTCTGGAAGGAAAAATAGATGCCTTTGGAGTTTTTAGGGAGGATGGTATGAAAAGCTTGGAATTTCGTTTAACTGAACAATCCAAAGAGTTAAAACAATCTTTAATGCAGAAAATCCAAGACCTTAATGAACAATCTGAGGACTTGGGACAATTTTTAATGGAGGAAATAGAAGACCTCAATGAACAGTCCAAGGAATTGGAACAATTTTTAATGCAGGAAATACGAGACTTAAAGGATGACATGGTTGCAAAATTTCAATCTTTAGAAGATACATCCTCTGAAATATCAGAAGTGGAGTCAATGGATGCTAGGCCACTAGGAAATAAACGAAATATGGCTACTAGACATCCTAAGGTGGCCTTTCCAGTAACTGTAGTAGAAAGGTCATCATCACGGAGGCACCAATCTGGTTCCACTACACAGAAATGGGAACCTATTCCCATAAAAGATATGAAAACAATTAAAAATGCGATCATGACTTTTGGGGTCCACAGTACTTATGTAAAACAGTTACTAAACACATGGGCAACTACTAATAAGATAACTCCCTCAGATTGGAATGATTTAATATCTGCAGTGTTGGACCAGTCTACACAAATACAGTGGAAAGCTTTGTGGAGACAGGAAGCCAAGGCCCTTGAACTTCAAGGTTTGAAGGATGGCTTTGATGCTTCTGAAAGTAAGATTATGGGAGAGAAGCAATTTTCTGACCCGCAGGTCCAAGCTGGTTATGATGAGCGTACATTTGATTTATGCAAAACAGCAGCACTAAATGCTTTGGATAAGGTTCGTGAACCAGGGGAAAGAGTTGAAGCATACTCGAAAGTGATACAGGGTCCGAGAGAAAGATTCTCTGAATTCTTACAAAGATTATCCAGAGCAGTAGATTTACAAATAACTGATCCTAATATTAGGCGACTTCTTACAGAATCGTTGGCTTATGAGAATGCAAACCCACATTACAAACAGATACTGTGGCCATTAAAGGTAAGATCAGCACCATTGGAGGAATGGGTCTTATATACAACTAATGTTGAGTATGACAATCCAGAGGCAGGAACTTGGATAGGAGAAGCCATTTCTAAAGGATTTAGGAGGAATCAGGATGAAATATGGCCTACCCAAGAGGAGATACCAAATTGGGTTGGGCAAGCAATCTCTAGAAATTTTAAAAGACATCAAAACTTTAGATGTTTTAATTGTGGTAAAATGGGACATCTGAGTAGGAACTGTAGACAACACATTCCTAGGAATAATTCTTCTACCAGGAATGTGTCAAACAGAAGGCCTCAACCTCCTGGTCTCTGCAGGAGGTGTGGAAAAGGCCGGCATTGGACAAATGAATGCAGATCCACAACAGATAGACAAGGTAGATCTTTAAAGCCAAAAAACGGATCTCAGGGGCTCAACCGAGCCCCCAAAAGAGAGATTATCCGGTCATTCCCAGTGACAGTGGAGGACAGCCTCTCCCAGGACAATTAGAAGATCCACTGCCCATTGTAAATTATACGGCACTGGACAATACATTAGCTCCAGAGGATGAATCAATTACATCAGGAGGAGATACAAAACATATATTTTGGCAAACTTCTATACAATATCATAGACCCAAGCTGGCAGTTAAGGTAAATAATAAGATAATTTACGGTTTACTGGACACAGGCAGTGATGTCACTATCCTTAATCAGCAGTCCTGGCCACACGACTGGGCTTTAAAAGAGGCTAATGTTCAATTCTTAGGGATTGGAACCCTATCTGAAGTTAAACAGAGCGTTAGATGGATTGACTTTATTGGGCCAGAAGGACAGAGAGGAAGGTTAAAGCCATATGTTGCAGATATTGCTATAAACCTCTGGGGTCGTGATCTACTCCAGCAATGGAATACACAGATTAACATTCCTCCTGTATCAGCTAGGAATCATAGACAAGCTTCTAGTGGTACAAAGAATAAAGTAAGGCAGTACAGAAAACAGATGCCAAATGTACAGGCTGTACAGATGCAAGATGCTAGTGCCAAACCAACAGAGCAACCAAAAGCTCTACCCTTAAAATGGCTGACAGATGAACCCGTCTGGGTGGGTCAATGGCCTATGACATCTGAGAAGTTAGAGGCTTTGGAGAAGTTAGTTCAGGAACAGTTAGATGCTGGACACATTGAGGAATCAACTAGTGCATGGAATTCACCTATTTTTGTTGTCAAGAAGAAGTCTGGTAAGTGGAGAATGGTTACTGATCTTAGAGCCATCAACAAGGTAATTCAGCCTATGGGGTCTCTACAACCTGGGATGCCGTTACCTTCTCTAATTCCTAAGGATTGGCCAATTATAGTTATAGACTTAAAAGATTGTTTCTTCACCATACCGTTACAAGAAAACGACAGAGAAAAGTTCGCCTTCACGGTACCTACCTATAATAATTCCCGTCCGGTACAGAGATTCCAGTGGAAGGTACTACCTCAAGGTATGTTAAACAGTCCAACTTTGTGTCAATATTTTGTGAATAAACCTCTAGAAATAATTCGTAAAAAATTTCCACATTCGTTAATATATCATTATATGGATGACATATTATTGTCTGATTCAAATAAGGATACATTGGAAAAGATGTTTGAAGCAGTAAAAGAAACTTTGCCTCGCTGGGGATTACAAATTTCCCCAGAAAAAATACAAAGAGGAGATTCTATTAACTATTTAGGTTATAAAATAGATGCTCAGAAAATTAGACCACAGAAAGTACAGATTAGAAGAGATCGTTACCGGACTCTTAATGATCTTCAAAAACTATTAGGTGAAATCTCTCAATTACAGACAATTATTGGTGTAGAAGGGCATGATTTGAAACATTTGAAAATGGCTTTAAAGGGAGATAAAGATCTAAACAGCCCACGAGTACTATCAGCTGAGGCTGAAAAAGAATTAGAATGGGTAGAAAAGAGAATATTAGAAGCACATGTGGACCGTGTGGATCCAAACCTGGATTGTATTCTAGTTATTTTACCATCTAGAGAATACCCCTCAGGAATATTAATGCAGAGGGAAGACATCATACTAGAATGGGTATTTCTGCCACATAAACAGAATAAAAAATTGAAAACATATATAGAAAAGATCTCTGATTTGATATTAAAAGGTAAGTTAAGGCTTCGTCAATTGACTGGGAAAGATCCAGCTGAAATTATTGTACCTTTAACAAATGATGAAATTTCCTCCTTATGGAAAGATAATGAGTATTGGCAAATAGCTTGCAGTGACTTTTTGGGAACTATTAGTAATAACTATCCCAAAACAGAGAGAATCAAATTCATAAAGAAAACAATTTGGATTCTTCCACGTATCGTGAGACAAACACCTATTTCTGGAGTTCTTAC